CACACACACACACACACACACACACACACACACACACACACACACACACACACACACACACACACACACACACACCTAATCTTCCTTTGACTGCGCTCTAATTAATTCATGGCTGCTGTCAGGAAGTTCCTCTAATCATGGTTAACTTTGAGCTTGGCAGATGAATTTTCAACCTGCTTACACCATGAGATAAACAGCCATTAATTTAGCCTCTCAGGCAGCACTTATCTCCTACAAGCCTCGCATGATCTTCCATACAGCGTGACGGCTTTTGTGTTCGCTTCTGCTGCCGCTGTTGCAAAACTCCTCCTGTCAGGTGCTCTATTCCTACTCAGTCCCAACTCCATCTGCCATCTCTGAGTTATTGTCTATGCAAACTAAATGGCTCCTCCTTCCTGACACATTTAACTTTCTCATCTCTCAGGTACGATTAAACTATTGTTTTAGGATTTTACCTTACATGAAGATGATAAATAAGAATGCTGCCAATCCTATTCTTTATAAATCAATGCGCTAAAAGCATTTGAACAGATAAATATGCATCAAAAACACAAAAAGAAACATGGAAAAAAATAACTACTAATAACACAAAGACTGTCGTAGGCAAACTTGTTCTCTTTGTTTAAAATGTGCAGTGGGTTATTCTGAGACATGCTGCTGAAACTCATGTCCAGCCATACAGGATGTGAAACAGGCTTTACAAACACTACAGTAGATGTGTTAAATATGTAATTTTTTATGTGAAATTTATAATATTATAAGTCTTCACATTGTAACAATAATCATATTATATATCTTGATATAATCATTTACACATGTGCATGACCCATGTCCTAAATTTGTGACAAAGGGAATGTGTTTGAAACAGAGTGTCTATGGATGCATACTGATGCAACATCAGCAAAATAGTAATAAAAAAACAACTGTGTTAAAATGTGGAACGTATATTCTTTGAACAATATTTTTTACAAGAGCATATTTTAAGACTTTAATTGGAGCTGGGTACGTTAACAGGTTATCACTTTCTTTTTGCGTTATTATAGCATTATTTTGTGTTATCACATTATTATTGTTTATATCACATTGGTATTGCATTATCGCATTATAATTGCGTTAATCTAGTCAATAAATAACAGCAACAATTGTTCTAAGGTGTGTTAATGCTGTTAGTTTTGGCTTTACTTTTAAATTTGTTGCTCAATGGATATGCATGCAGACAAACCCAGAAGTCATGGTGGGGTGTTGATCATGATGTTGATGTTTCTGACTTTAGATGGTCATCATTGTGCATCTCAACCAATAAGGGTCCTTGATTTTTAGAGATGATGCCAACCAGTGCTCACATGAAGTCTATCAAAAAATGAGCAGCAAGGACAGAAACATTGGGTGAAGGCACCAACATTTTCCATGGGCATTTTTATTTTAAAGCTCCTCCCAACTGCAGTTGGATAGAAGTAGCTATCTGTAAGCCTTGCAACGCTAAACTGTCTTGATACCAGAGCAATTCTAACTTGATATGTCACTTAAATTTAAAACACACCTTGAGATTAATATATATATATATTGCCCCGCACTTATTGTGCATACATGTTTCCTATATTTTGTGCCACAATACTGCAATAATACAACAGAAGATATTATTTAAAAATGATATATGTAAGTACATTTACATAAAAATAAGATATTGTTTGAACAACTAACTTCTTAAATTAGATTGTGATAAGGCATATTTTATATTTATGTTCTTTCTTCTGTTTTTTCTGGGGGGGAGGTTGCTGCATCAACCCCCCCATATTTCAGTCAAAAGCCAGTTAAAGAAGTGGATATATAAAAATTAATAATAGTGAATACATACATTTTCTAGATGTTTTTAGGCATTTTACCCTTTTATCACAAATATGAACTTGTCCTTATCTTTATTTCTTCCCTGTTGCCACCTAACTGCTGACCATAGCCAAAATCTCTCAGATTATATCCTAGATGTTCACAAAGTTTTCTGTCTCAGATAAGTTAAAATCAGTGAACACAACTGAGGGAGATTACACAGCAGCTTTTATCACAGCTTAGAAAAAAAATAAAATAAAATACACTAAATAGGCATTTCACCCCATAAAATCATGAATGCTGGATCACTGCTATTTTTTTTCAAACAATTTTACTCAATTGCACACTGATTTCCTAAAGTCAGGAGGGATAACAGCAGCTCCCTGCATAATTAGTGCATGACACAATCATTTAATTCAGAATTGACTTCCTGCCCTCCATTCCATCTCTCATGAAACTCCAATCTCCGAGGAGTCGAGGGTTCTTCCTTCTGTAAAAAAAAACAGCTAAACACATCAACACATCGAATGCTCTGAGCTCCAAAATCTGTTAGGAGCTAAATAAGAGAAATGGGGGTGGGGGAGAGAGTGTTAATGAAAAGTTTAATAGAAGAGCAAGACAGAGGTGGCCCAGAGGCTGGATGCCATTTAATTCAACAGGATGCGCCTGCTGCACTCCACTCCCATTCATGAAAAGAAGTTTGCAGAAATATTGCTTTAAAGAAGTACAAAACAAGGCTGACGATTTAACTGCTATTAAACTTGGGAGTCTTCCTCATGAGTGATGGCAGGATGGAGCCAAAGATGGATTGACAGGTACCTCAGCTGTCGCAATAAAGGAATTTCTTCAAATTTTTATTTTATTTTATTTTATTTTTTTGGTATAACCCAACTGAGACAAAATGAAAAACTCAGTTTTCTGGTCCACCCTCACCTACACTCATTACATTTGGATCATTAACAAGAGAGTGGGATGGGAAATGAGTGTCCTGCATAGACAAGTGAGGAGCTCCATCATCCATGGTGAGCTCGGAGTTGAGTTGCTGCTCCGCCACATCAAAAAGAGTTAGCTAAGGTGGTTTTTCAGGTACTTCTCACTGGAAGAAAACCCTGAGGAAGACCCATAACTCCCTGGGGGAATTAAATCTCCACCTGAACAGGTAAGGCCTTGAGATCCTTCAGGAGGAGTTATGTGTGACCTGAAAATGAATAAATGGAACATAATAATTGCAAATGTGTACTGAATTCATCTCTGATTAACAGTGATGGAAACTTGACCACTTTGGTGAAATAGTAGCCTGGTTAAAACCATCCCCTTGTCCTTCGCTTTGCTTCGTAAAAGGGTCTGGACTCTCAGCTATAGAGAAGTGATTCTTGCTGGAGGCGTGGCCTCTGCTGAAGTTTAAAATGATTGGATCGGTTGGCTGCAACATATGTGTATGCCAGCTCTACTGTGAAGGAGGCTAAGCTAAGAAGCTAACCAGAAATTGCGTGCGCTGTAAACAACCCTACTGAGAGGAAAGAAGTACCGAGCCGAACGAGACGACTGTAATTTAGAGCTGCTGCTTTGTCAGACAAATTTAATTTAATTTGGAAGCCTTATCAACACAGACTGGCTTCATTCACTTCCTCCACTGCTGTATGCTAAAATAACTAGCAGACACTGCTCAGAAAATCAACATCATTCAAAACTCCGCCTTCTGTTTGCTGATTGGCCCAGGTAAAATAAACTACAAGCAGACACTGCGCAGAAAATCAACGTTCTGTCCTCTGATTGGCCCGGAGGAAATTCTCCTGAAGAAATCCTTGTCTATGGGAGAAATCTCAGACGGAGAAGTGAAGTGAAACAAGAATTGAGCGGAGCTGCGTAGAAAGACAAGAGCCAGGCTAGTGAAATAGCTCACTGGACCCCATTTCCATTCTTGATACTAAATTTCCATGCCCTTTGGACATTTACCTCTGTACTGACCCTTAGAAATTTGTAAATTTCACAAAAAAATCCATAGTAGTGGAGGGGACAGTAGGGGGAAGAAGAGGGAGCAAACTTAGCATTTCCTTGCAGGCTCTGAGACATAAAATCACAAAAAGTGTAAATTGTACCACATTCAATGACGTATCGATAACAGTATTGATACTGATATTGGTATCAGTTCTGAGCATTGCAGCATTTTGTACGAGTGAGAGTAAAACTGCTGGACCTAAACCAGGTTCTGCATCAGAAGACCACGACATTTAAGTCTAAAATCAGTCGATGACATGTTCATTTATACACAAAGAAGCCACTTGTCATTGGATAAGATCATCCATTGTTGTCTTTATGACAATCAGCATTCATAACCATCAGCTGCCTTCTGGGTTACCAAACCCACCGACCACATGAAAAGAGATTTCTAAGAGCAAAGAGTGAGTTCAGGGTGAGTTGAAGCTTACTTTGGCCATCTGTGCCTGGACTCCACTGGCTTTGAGCGAGGCCACAGCCTTCTGGGCAGCTGCAGGGCTGTCAAAGTCCACAAATCCATAGCCTGTACACACAAAAATCAAACAAAAGAGGTAACAAAAGAGAAAACATGATGAAAAAGAAGTAGTACTAGCAAAAAATAAATAAAAAAGAAAAGACAATCAAATATTTGGATCAGCCTCTGTTCTAATTATTGTTTCACAAGAACAAATCTAATTTCACCATGTTTTGTTTTCATCACTATATGAATCTATTTAATGCAACAAAATAAAGTTAGGTCACGTATTTTCTAAGAAAAAACTCTCAGCTTCCCTATTAATCGTGTTTTACAAGTTTCAGTGATTGTTTTTTTTTTTTTTATGAAACCACATCTGTGTTTTGTATCAACTACTGTGTCTTTCACTGCAGTAATACTTCACTAGTCCATTTAAGGTCATTTTGCTCCTTTACCACACTGAATTTCTCAGCACATACTCAATCTTGATTGCCTTTGCATCAGTGAGGGAGAAAAAAACTGTACTGCAACCACTCATAACAGTTTTGTTTGAAAGAAATAAGACTCAAACAAAAGGTGCACCATTCCATTTTTGTACAAAAGTTTTACTTTATAGGATTTTGTCAATGCATGCATTTGTTTGACCTCAGGATCTTGTAGAATCCTACAGGACAAAAAAGTTCTAAACATAAATATCCACTTTCAGAAATACAGAAAAAAGCCCTTCTTTACTCATGCGAGACCTGGGGAAGGATGTAAAAAGATTTTAAAAAATGTCTTCAGTTTATTTTGATATTGGTCCAATGGTGTTCCACACCCAGAGTTGGGTAGTAACTAGTTAAATTTACTTGAGTACCTTCTTCAAAATAAATAAATAAATAAATGAAATTTTAGAAGTATTTTTTCTACGCTGTCCTTTTTACTTTTACTTGAGTAATTTTATTATGAAGTATCGTTACTCTTACTTGAGTAAAATGTATGGATACTCTACCCACTGGAGAAAAAGCTTGTTTAAACCAAAAATTCACTGCGCACAGACACACCCACAGTTTTTGTTAGTTTCATAAGTTTTATTATTATTCTTTTTGAAAGAAACTGGTTTGAAAAAACATATTTATTTTGCCTGAATGTTTTATTTTGTAATTACATTGTTTATATTAATCCTTTTCATTTTCATTTTTAAAATAGCAAAGTATCCACATTACTTTATATTTTGGTCTGTCTGATGATGTCATTTTTAATATTAAATGATTGATGTCTTCTGCTTTCTCATTTGAAGCAGAGGGTGGGGATTAGGGCTATTGTTCTGAAATGGTTTAGGTCCTATTTGCCAAAGCCATTGTTCTGTGTTAGCCTTGGTGGTTTAGCGTCCTCCTCAGCTTCTGTTTTATGTGGAATCACCCAAGGCTCTGTTTTAGGCCCTCCTAGTTTCACCCTATTGCCTTCTGCTTGGCTCTATACTAAAACAAGCATGGTGTGTCATTTTATTGTTATGCCAATGATAGATTTATTTTGGCTATTTAAAAGACAGAAGCATGTCCTGTCAATTTGATACTTCTGTCTCTTTAACATGTCTCTTTGGAGTTTTATGAAAACAAAAGGTGATGTTTTTCAGACACTACTGGCCCTCCTCTCTGAATTTAGGTTGCATGGTATGGGATTTTAGTGTTGAATTGGATTCTGTTTTTTTGTTTTTATTAGACAGTCAGGTCAGGAGATTTATTTCTCGTTTTATCTTCACTCTATTGAATGCCACACATTTTAGAATCCGTAATTTTGTATTCATTTATTT